AATTAATTAGTGCCAATTAAAATAGATAAATATACAATTAAAGTTTAAATATGTACAAAAAATTATAACGAAATAAAATTTTGGGGTGGGTACTTTTTACCCAGTGTGCTTGTCAGGGGTTAATATTAAAGAATTTCATGATACTGAAATCAGCTGACAACTTTTTTTTTCTATTTTTATTCTAAATTAATTACAAAAAATATTTTTTTTTAATTTGCTATTGTAATTTTTTTATAATAATTTATTTGTTATAAAATGACATTTAAGTTAGCAGTAACTTCATTACTTTTTTAATTTTTTTTAACAATGATATTAAAGTTAGCTGTCAATTGATCATTTTTCAATTTTTTTTAACAAAAAAATTATTTTTAGAAAATTGCATTTTTTATTTTTTTAAATTTCTAAATCTCAATTTTTAAAAAATTTTTTTTATGCAGTAATTTATTTATTAGAAAAATTATTAAAATTATTAAATATCTGCTAAATCAATTTTCATTTTTTGACAAAAAAATTTTGTTGAAAAAAATTGCATTTTTAATTTTTTTTTATTTCTAAATGTCAATTTTTTGCTAGAATTTATTTGTTACAAAAATTCTTAAAATTATAAAATATTTTAAGAATTATCAAATCACATTTAAGTTCACAAACATTTCCTCATTTTTTAATTTTTTTTAACAAAATATTTTGTCCAAAAAAATTAATTTAAAAAAATTAGATTTTTAATTTTCAAAAATTTCTAAGTGTCAATTTTTTTTGCCAGAATTTATTTGTTAAAAAAATTATTAATATGATCAACTATAAATTAATTTCCATAATTAAAAAAACTCCCAGATGTCTTAATTTCAGTATCATTAATATTTTTTTTTATTTAATTTAATAATTTATAAAATATTTAATTGCAGTATAACATTGATATCGAGACATTGATTCCTAAAAATTCTAAATAATCAACTCAAAGAAAAAAAAATAATTTAAATTTATTAAAAATGGATTATCGCGTGTTAATAAGCAAAGAGAGTGATTTATCAATAAATAAATTCTGGAAAGGCATTGAAATATTATTAAACAACAGTCACTTAATAAACAAGAGAGTGGTCTTGTCAACAATTATTCTTAAAGCTGAATTATCAAACATCAACATTGATTCTGTAGTCGAGCACATTACAAGTATCAATGACGTTTCTCAACTGGTTGAGTATGATTCAAATAAAAATTTAAATATCATCAATAATTACGACTTTATTATCTTACCTGAAGAGTTCAATATTTTTGAAGACGACGTCGGAGTTAACCAAGAACAGACAATATATTTAATAGTCAAAAAATTGCTTCCGAGGGAAAGCCAAAAATTCTCTCAAGCGATAGAGTTTGACATTATTGATAAAAATAACAGAGTTGTTATAAGTTTAACAAAGCAAATTTTAGATGAAAATAAAAAGTCTCTTGGTCTTCAATGGCCTTATAAAATAATAAATGATAATAATAATAAGCAAGTAAGTTTGTTGATTCCAAATGAATTTTCTAATGAATCCAGCGAGTCAAGTATTGACTGGCTTAAGACAAAACTCTTCGGCAGCTTGATCAAGTGGATGGACTACGATGACAAGCAGAAGAAATCATTCATCCAAGGATCTTTGAATTTAATTTCTAATGAGAAATATTGTAAATTGTATAATGAGCTGAAGAAAAAGTACGGAGTTGATTTGGTTAAAAACTGGCCAGAGTGCACTGATCCTCAGAAATTTGTTTACGAAGATGTTGCTATCGCTAGTTATTTAATTGTACTCTGGGAGCAGGAGAGAGAAGAAAAAAAAATAGATAAAAAACAGTCATTTTTAGATCTCGGTTGTGGTAATGGCTTACTTGCTTACATTTTGAGCAATGAAGGATTTCCTGGACGTGGTGTTGATTTGCGTCGACGTAAGATCTGGGATTTATTTGCTGAAACAACTCAATTAGAGGTAATAAAAAATATATGACACTGAAATTTAGCTAAGTTTTTTATTTTTCTTGAAAAATATACTAGAAAATTATATTTGAAAAATTGCATTAGTAATTTTTAAGAGCTTTTAAAGATGAAATTTTTTTAATAAATTTTTCTTGATCGTAAAGATGACAATAACTAAGAAATGACGTTGTATATTGTCTACTGATGATATTTTTAACGATATAAGCTTATCCTGATGTTTAGCCCATCGAGACCTTCTATTTGAGTACCCACACGATTTTTTTCATATATTTTATATATGTGATATTTCTCATATTTGTGAAATATATAAAATATATAAAAAATTCGTGTGGGTATTCAAATGAAAGGTCTCGATGAGCTTACCATCAGGATGAGCTTATATTTTAAAAAATGTCAATAATTAAGAAATGACGTTGTATTTCGTCCCTTAATGATATTTTTAACGATATAAGCTCATCTTGATGTTACACTTACCGAGACCTTTCATTTGAATACCCACACGAATTTTTAATATATTCTATATATTTCACAAATATAAGAAATATCATATATATAAAATATATGGAAAAATTCGTGTGCGTACTCAAATGAAAGCTCTTGATAAGCTTAACATCAGAATGTGCTTATATCTTAAAAAATGTCAATAATTAAGAAATTACGTTTTATTTTGTCTACTGATGATATTTTAAACGAAATAAGCTCATCCTGGAGTTACACTTATCGAGACCTTTCATTTGAATACCCACACGAATTTATAATATATTTTATATTTTTCACAAATATGAGAAATATCATATATATAAAATCTTTTATTATGAAGCTTGTGTGACCTTTTCATTGTTATCGCTTTTCGTTGCTATGGTAACCACTTTGGTTTAATATTAATGAATAAAATTTGTAAAAATATTGATAAATTAAATTATCGATAATAAACATGTTGGCAAAAGCGCGCTCAATTTTCTAGTTATTAAAAAAAATTGCATTTATGATTTTTTTGGTATCTTTAAAAATATAATTTTTTTACTATAATTGATTTGTTAAAAAATTCTAAAAATAATAATTTTCAAGCTCTCTCTCAATTTTAGTATCATAAAAATATCAATAAAATTTTTTTTATTTTAGTAAACATTAATTAATAACAAAATATTAAAATTATTTCAGGAAAAAACTTTAATTCCCTCATCAGACTCATTATTTCCTGACACAGATTGGCTGATAGGAAATCACTCGGATGAATTAACACCGTGGATACCAGTAATAGCAGCACGTAGTTCGTATAACTGTAGATTTTTTTTACTTCCTTGCTGCGCTCACGAATTTGACGGTAGAAAATACCAAAGAAGTTGCGCGGGGAATAGTCAGTATTTAGAATATTTAGAGTATGTAAAAAGTATTTGTGAGGGCTGTGGGTTCATCACAAGGTGCGATAGATTACGAATACCATCTACCAAACGAGTGTGTTTAATTGGATGGCAAAGAAATTACCAGGAAGCTCAAGTCCCGGAGATAAATAAGCGAATTGAAGAGATAATAAATGCAAGAGCGTTGCAAAAAATAAATAGTGTTGTAGTTAATCAAGACAACGATACTGGACAATGGTCAAGTGATTTTAAGCCACGGGATTTAGTTGAAAAAGTTAAAAATTGTACGAAGGTTGATAAAAATATTGTTAATGAGATTGTTAATTTAGTTGCTAATTATCTGTTGCAAAAAGTCAGGATAATTGGTGTTAAAAAGGATGAGGATGGCGAGGAATGCAAGTGGAATGCTGGAGGTACTATTGAATTGAATGAAATTGCTAAACTTGTACCATCTAGTACTTTGAAAGAATTAAAAGCAGAATGTGGAGGCTTGCAAACGCTCTTAAGGAATAATAGCAATATTTTTCAAATTTATAATGGCACAGTTCAATTCAGAATTCCGGGGAGTAATAATTTGAATACTAAAAAACGTAAAAATAAATCAAATGTACGATTAAAAGTAAAACCCTGCTGGTTTTTTGTAAATCATCCCAACGGATGTCCGCTCAGCGATAATAAATGTACATTCAAACATATAAATTTATAAATTAAAAGAATTGATTTTTAAATAAAATAAATTGTGTTGGTTACTATTTACAAGTGGGGTCAACATCATTTTGGGCCATATCTAGGTGAAAAATTAACATTTTTTAATCTATATTATTAAGAGGATAAGTAAAATTTTGTGGCCAGTGTATTTATATGATAAAATAGGTTGGAAAAGTCTTGACCTGGTGTTGTGCCTTTTCATGGTTTCATATCATTCTCATCAACAGTCAATTTATGATGATAAGTATTTAGGTTGCATACGAAAATGCGCTATCTCTAGAAACGTAATTAAGAAAAGACCGTGTATCTAGTGAACTGTTGATATTTTTTAAGATATAAGCTCATCCCGATATTACACTCATCAAGACCTTTCATTTGAGTACCCACATCATTTTTTCATATATTTATATATTTTATATATATGTATATATGAAAAATATATCAAAATGCATGTGGGTACTCAAATGAAAGGTTTTGATGAGTGTAACATCGGGATGAGCTTATATCTTCAAAAATGTCAATATTTCACCAGATATTTGTTAAAATGCCCTGTATTTTCTTAACTATTGACATTTTTAACGATATAAGCTCATCCCGATATTACACTCATCAAGAGCTTTCATTTGAGTACCCACATCATTTTTTCATATATTTATATGTTTTTTATATATGTATATATGAAAATATATTATTAAAGTTTGTAGCGATAATTTATTTAGTTAATAATAATATGAACACATAAATTAAAAAATATATTTTATCAACTTAATTAGAGAACAATTATTCTTTTATCAAATATTAATTTTTACTCAACAAGTAACACACTTAATTATTTTTATATCAACCACAAATCTTTTTTAATACATATAGTATTGTAGCATAAAAAAGAACTCTTTATTTACATTAAAAAGTTTTTAAATTCAGTCTATTGCTTTTCATAGTTTCTAAGCGTCACATTGACAAGTAATTTTAATAATTATTAATAAAGTAACAAAAAAAAAATCTTTTAATTACATTGATCGTTACAAATATTACGAAGACTTGAATTAGTTATTCAAAGAAATCTAATAATAAATTAGACTTTCATGACTCAAAGAAAGAAGCGAAAGCGTAATTCACATTTAATAAAAAAATTTACAATAAAATAATCTTAAATTAAGTAAACATTAAGGTGGCGCAAAAAAACCGACTATTTTTTTTTTTTTGAGTCTCGAGTGAAAATATGCTGATTTTTTATGTTTTAAGAGCTATTTTCAAAGGACAGCTAAAAAAAAATTTTCTAAGAGGTCGCTCCAAATTTTTTTAAATTTGTAAAATCTTCAAAAATCGAATTTTTTTTTTTAAATTTTTTTTCTCGTTACGTCATAATTTTATAGACAAAAAAAAGGGATTTCCTGAAAGTTTCAATTCAAAATGTGAATTTTAAAAGGTCGCTCATAATTTTTTTTTAATTTATTAGTGACTATTTAATTGGATTAGAATTTTTTGACTCTGAAATTAAAAAAAAATTATGAGCGACCTTTTAAAATTCACATTTTGAATTGAAACTTTCAGGAAATCCCTTTTTTTGGTCTATTAAATTATGACGTAACGAGAAAAAAAATAAAAAAAAATTCGATTTTTGAAATTCAAAAAAATTTGGAGCGACTTCTTAAAAATTTTTTTTTGAGCTCTTTTTTGAAGAGGTTTTTTTGCGCCACCCTAGTAAACATACAAGTTAAAATTACTCTAGTAATTCAACCAACGAAATATTATCTAAATTCGGTATTCCATTATCGCTGTGAATATTACTTTGCATAACTTTATTAACAATATGTTGAGTAGTCTTCAATTTCTTCTTATCAATTTCGTCTATCATTTGATGAACGCGCTTTAGATGAGTGAGAAGATTTCCCTTTTGCGTGAACGAGTAATCACAGTGCGGACAAGCCCAAGGCCGATCTCCAGTATGATGCTTCATGTGCATCTGCAGCGTGGATCTTTGGGCAAATGACTTTGAGCACAGCTCACACTTGTAAGGTTTTTCACCGGTATGAATCCGTTTGTGTCTTTGAACTTGGCAAGGTTTTCCGAAAGTTTTTCCACAAATATCGCACTCTCTGCTGCTATTTGAACTTTTATTGTTTAAATTACAATTATTTTTCGGACTTAATTTTTGAGAAATAATCGGAGCTGTAGAAAGTGATGAAGATTCCGCAGGAATTCCAATAATTACCGGAGAATTATTAGAAGAATCAACAAGAGTCATACAAGAATCATTTAATTGCTCTGAATTAGAATTAGCAGCAAGATTATTAACTTGCGCAATAACTAAATTACTACCCGAGAGATTCGCTCCTTGATTTTCACCACTATTATTATTATTAACACCCAAATTCCCCTCATTAGAATTATTACCACCAAGCTGTAAAATATTCTCCTCAGTTTGAATAGTAACAAGTCCATTAGCAATTAAAAAGTGTAAATTAGCCACCAGCTGGTTGCTCTCATTAACCGAAAGCATTGAATTATTATTCAAAATAGTCCCATCAGGATTAAAAGTCAATTGATCAGCCAGCCCTGTCGCGTCAATAGTAATAGTATCAAGATTAGAAAACTCAGTGGTCTGATTATCCACCAAAGACTCTTCAAGCTCTCCCTCGAGCTTAATCTCCGGAATCACCTGAATTTTCCCGGACTTTTGCTTGCGTTTCCCAGAATTACTTCCCAAATTTTTATCATCGCGCATGTGAGTGAGCAAGTGGACCTTGCGGTGCCCCGAGGTGCGGAACTGCAAGTCGCAAAAGGAGCACTTAAACGGCTTTGAGCCAGTGTGCAAGCGCATGTGGACTTTCAAGCTCCCTTTAGTAGCAAACAGTCGATTGCAAACGTGGCAAGAAAATTTTTCATTGCCTGTGTGCACTTTTATGTGACAGTCCAGGGTGCATTTCACCGCAAAACTTTTATCACAGTGCTCGCACTGGTACGGCCGCTCGCCTGTGTGCGTTCTTACGTGTCTAATTAAATCACTGGGCTTTCTGAATGTCTTTGGGCAGTACTTACATTTATTGTCGTATTCTTTCTTCTCCAGCAAGCTGTTGATGTTGTTGCTGGCACTGCTAGAACTCGGCAAGCCACTGCTGGAATTATTCAGGAAATTCTGCTCTACTACGGTGTCAAAAAGCAGCTTCTGGGAGACAGAAGCAGCAGAATCTGGTTCAATATTTATCAATAAATCTGCTTCTATTTTTGATGGATCCTTTTGAGAGCTGTCTGGCTCAATATTTGAGCTCCAACCGACGTCTTGAGTACTGGAGTGCATTTTTAAATGATTCTCAGTTGAGAATGAGACGAAGGAGTCGATTTTTTTTCCACTATGAATTTTTAAATGCCGACTAAGCCCACCATTGGTGCAAAATTTTAATGGACATTCTAAACACTGGAATTCTTTCTCTCCTTTATGAGTTAATAAGTGTTTTTTTAATGAATTTACTTCAAAGCCTTTTTTTGAACACATGTGACACTGCAAAGATCCCCCATTGCTATTTTCACATATTTTTTCTTCAATATTAATATTATTATTGTCAGTCGTGGAATCACTGGTTGTAAATCCAGAGAGGTGACCTTCTACGTGTGATTTTAAATCTTCTAAAGAATTAAATGGTCTGTCACAGTAGCTGCAAGTTAGATTAAAATTTTCCATGGATGTTACTGAGTTTTCATTAGATTCGCAGCTTAAATTTATTAGGAGGTCTGTTTGGTTTGTTGTGTCGGCTTTAGCTATTATTTTTGGGTACTTCGGGCAAGATTGCACGGGCTTGGTTAAATCTGGGTAAGATTGAATTGAATTTACAAGAAGGTGACGGTCTTTTAACTGACGAGATTCGGAGGTAATTTCGGTTTTATTGCAAGATACGGGGACGAGTCGTTGGGCTTCTTGAGCGGATTTAGGCAAAATACTCGCCATACTTGTGGAATTTGCTGAATTTATTCCAATATCCATTTCAGTGTCGGCTTGAAGGGTTATTTGGCTCATGTCAAAGGTGTCAAAGTGCGGGGGGAATATGTCTGTATTGATAGACTCGGAGGAGTCGAGAGGCTTTGAGGTGTCGTACATTATGTTTAGGACTGGTTGAGAGCGAGATTCAAGTGGGACGTCTGTTTCACTTATCTGGCGGGATAAATTTGTACCTAGTCCGAGATTCATACCGATGTTGAATAATTGTTGGTTTAATGTTTCTTCTATTTCACGGATGCTCTCCTGAAAGATAAAATTTGGGTGTTTTTATTGGACGCTATTGAGATATTGAGAAATTTAGAAAATTACTTACTGCGCTTAAGGTTTGATCTCCAGTATAATTTGGTAATGTTATAGTACCAGTTTCGTCGGCGTGTAATGTTTGAGTTGAGTCTAAGTGGTGGTTTGTATTGACTTCTGGTAAAGTTTCTAAAAAATATTTGAGTTTGTTAATAATTAAATTACAATTATAATGACAAGCAACCTTGCAGTCACTATGTAACTGCCGTGATTTATTGACTGTAATAAAAAAAAATTTTGGTTTATTAAATAGTGACTTTTGTTAAATTATAGTGTACTTTCTTAAATATTGACGTTTTTAAAGATATAAGCTCATCCCGATGTTACACTCATCAAGAGCTTTAATTTGAGTACCCACATGCATTTTGATATATTTTTCATGTATACATATATATAATATATAAAATATATGAAAAATTGATGTGGGTACTCAAATGAAAAGTCTCGATGAGTGTAATGTAGGGGTGAGCTTATATCTTCAAAAATGTCAATATTTAAGAAAACACAGTGCAATTTAACATAATTAACGAATGACCTTGAATTTTGTAAACTATTGACATTTTTCAAGATATAAGCTCATCCCGATGTTACACTCATCAAGAGCTTTAATTTGAGTACCCACATGCATTTTGATATATTTTTCATATATTCATATATATAAATATAT